ATTGGAGTAGGCAATTAATGAGAAGATTCTATCACTGAACTATGAAGACTATACCGTGGAGATTGAAACTGCAGATGCACAAGAGTCTTATGAGAAAGGGGTGATTGTAGTGGTGACTGGGTGCTTAACTAGGAAGGATAATGTGAGAAAGAAATTCACACAAACATTCTTTCTAGCTCCACAAGACAAAGGTTATTTTGTCTTCAATGATATTTTTAGATATATTGGGGAGAATGATCTGCGCATCAATTCTTTGCCAGCTAATGGCATTATTGAGAATACCTCAGCATCTGCCTCAGCCCCAGAACCAGGTTTGGCATTCTGATGTATTATTCCAATCTAGAATTTGCTTTAGACCCAAAATTTGACATTGCTTTACTCTTTTACTTTTCCTTCCCAGAGCCTGTTCATGATCATCATGCAGTGGAACCTGAAGCTTACCCTGAAGAGGAAGATCTTGACAATGGTGCTGAAGTTTGTGACCCTTCAGATAAGGAGGAAGGATCTGTTATTGAAGAGGAGATTGATGAACCTCAAAACAATGCTAGTATGAATGATAGTCTTATAGGTGCTGATTCAGCTCCCGTAGTCCAGGAAGATGCTCCAAAGCAATCATATGCTTCAATTGTGAGTTGTTTCCATTACTTCTCTATTGCGTTTTTTTTTTTTTTTTGGGTTTGGACATTATTTGACACTTTTTACCGTGCTGACTTCTATGTTAGCTCAAAGTAATGAGAAGTAGCCCAGCATCCACCCCAGTCTATGTTCCTACCAATAATGTGAGAGTGGCAGCTTCAGATCAACAGTCATTTGCTTCTGTAAAACCTGCTGCAGCACCAGAGATATCAGTTCCTAGCAGTGAAAATGCTCCTGACAGTGGAAATGTTAACAATGAAGGTAATTTCTTACATAATGTTCGTTATATCTGCCTGAGTGTAGATACACCATGCTAATTTCCATTAAAATTAGAATCTATTTGATCTAGCAGGGTTTTGGCTATGTCATCTTCATTTTCATGTCAATCTTGTCTTGATGCATATCTGATTTCAATGGGCATGGCTAAGTTGAATTGCATTTCTCTCAGCTGAAGGACACTCCATATATGTACGGAATTTGCCGTTCAATGCAACACCAGCACAACTTGAGGAGGCATTCATAAAATTTGGCCCAATTAAGCGCAATGGCATCCAAGTCAGAAGTAATAAGGTTTAACTAAGATACTATTTTGAGCATCACATCATAATTTTACATTTTTGGACGAATGCTTGCTGCTTACTATCTTATCCTATATTCCTGAATTCCTGCAGCAAGGATTCACTTTTGGCTTTGTCGAATTTGAGATGTCTAGTTCTGTACAGGGTGCACTTGAGGTATTGCCTTTTACCTTTTGTAATAAGTCATCTTTTTCATTTCTGTCATCAGTCCTTTCACTAAATTATTTGAATGCATAAGTAAATACTAATAGTTTAAAATGAAGCAACCTTCATCAAGTGTGAACTTAGGCAAAACATTCACAGCCCTTTTTTGTAATTGCAATGCGTGAAAAAGAGCGTCTTTTCATATTTTACCTTTTTTCTTTTGTTATTAGAATTTTGATCAATTATGTGGTAAGAGAGTTGAGAGAGTTACTCTTGAAATGAAACTGAAATTTAAGGGAACAAGTCCTCAACCCCGGCACAAGCAAACTAAAGGTTTTTTTCAGCCCCAAGCAGCCCAAAAGTAAACTTCAAGACTGTTGAAAGTTCTGCCTGGGCAACATATCTAGGCAGTGGTTTTGTGCCTCTCCTAGTCAGCCAGGCAGTGATCTTGATTTATGCTGTTTATATGCACCTAGGCTGGTTAGGTTAGGCATGAGGAGATGCTATCAAGCACAATTAAGGGCTCTAGCGGCAATTAGGTGCTAGGCTTTGCTAGGCAGATGGGATGTTTTTAAGTGAAACCATGTTGTATTGTAAGAAAATCACATAAAATCCAGCGACAAGGATTTCATCTAAGTCTACAGTTTGCATATCTAGTCTAACAATCTTGAATACATGGCACTATCCCTCTTACTATCTCTCTCTAACGTTGTGTCTTTGTATCTCTACTTTCTGTTGATGAGTGTAATTTCATCTTCTTAAAGAGATTTTAAAGTCATTTAACTTTTGTAAACATTTATGAATTGTCAGTGAGACCTGTAGACAGATGACAAAATGAGAAATGAATTGATGAGGGCTAAATTAATGATTAAAACCCCAAGCTAGTAGATGAGTTTATGCTAATACTTGCAATTAAACTTTTTTCTTTTTCTTTTTTGGTTATTTGTCTGACTTCTTTTTATTTTTTTCATTTTTTCTTATTTTTGAAAAAAAAAAAAGACAACCACCTAGGCACTAGGTGGTGCTGCATCATATGACAACATTTTGCAACACTGCTTCAAGATCATTTCTTCTTCCCTTGTTGGTCCTCGATTTTCCTTTCTCATTTCTCTTCCCATCATGTCCCTTTCTTTTGCATTTTATTCATCCTTCTCTTCCTTTCCTTTTCTCCTTTCTCTCCACTGTTTTTCTTTGTCCTTCTTCTTCTTCTTATTTTTACCTAGTTCTCTTCTTCTATCTTCTTTCACTCATTGTGAATTAAGTTGAATGATTGGGTGCCTTTAGTATTCAAATATTAATTATGCTTTGTTTACAAACTGAAATTCCATGATCTATTCTTCTTCTTCTTCTTCTTCTTTTATTTTATTTTTACCTAGTTCTCTTCGTCTATCTGTTTAAAGTGTTATTTATTTTTATTTGTCCGGTTTTCTTCTTTCAGTCATAGTGAATTAAGTTGAATCGTTGGGTGCCTCTAGGATTCAAATATTAATTATGTTCTGTTTACAAACAGAAATTCCATAATCTAAGCCTTGTTAAAGTATTAGGTTAATAAATTTGTGATTAGCTGTTATCAGACATGTGCCTAGGCCCCCATCCTGTACTTTTGAGGGTAATGGTTATACTTTTTCATTTTCATGTTGGTGCTCTCCTTTGGGCAATATCTTTTAGGCTGTCGATTTTTTTCTTCTTTTAATGACTACAAATGTGACCCTAATGAACTTTGCCCCCACCATCCCTTCCCCCTTTTCTCAAGCCAATTTAAAAACTAGAAATTTACTTGTTAATGGTGCCTTAATCTCTTTTAAAGAGACACTTGGGATGGTAAGTGATCAGATTAGATGACTTCTTTGAGAACTAGTTGATTCAGCTAATATGAAACTAAGCCTTATGGAGGGTGTTTGGCAAAGCTTAAAAATCACTTGCTTTAAAGGCACTATTCTCTCTCACAAATTTAAAATTTTGTTGGAGAGAAACACTTAAAATTAGCTTTTAAAGTGTGTTTTAAGCAAGTTTTAAAAAAGCTTTTAAGCAAGTTTTGAAAAAGCTACACATCCAAGCTTTTTTAAAACTTGCTTAAAACCCAATTTAAAAGACAAATTTTGAACTTTCCTCTTACCAAATTTCAAACTTGTGAGAGATGAATAGTGCTTTTAAAGCAAATGCATTTTAAGCTTTGCCAAACACCCTCTTGAAGTGTTAATTTGGATATTGTTTATAGATGACATGATTTGTTGGTTATTGTGCGTGGGTTTCAGTATTTTTCTTGTAGATGGAACTTATAGTGTAAAAGTATTCCTTGAATTGGTAGATATATGATATTATGGGTGTTATTTAGAAAACCTTATTCTAGTTCAGATCATTGTTTTTAACAAAATTTTTGGCCTTACTACTGAGTTATACTAAAGATTAAGCTGGTCTAAGCATACAGCATGCAAAATCAGCAAAAGCAGAATTAAGGGTCAAGGATTCAAGATATACTCAAAAATGGCAAATGTCTATACCTCGGTACCATCATTCAGAATGATAGTGGATTCACAAAGATGTTATTCATAGGATCAAATGGTAAAAGGAGTCTTGGTATAGCTGATGATACATGGGTCTGTGGTTATTCGAAGAGAAAATACAATTATGAAAGTGATTTGAGAAAAGTTAGTTCATAACTACCAGGCACAAAATGAATAGAACAGTCTAAACATTTGTGATAAATTGTAGATGCACATGTGATGTGAGCTGTGTACTTGTCGACTGAAAACTGATAAAACATTTAAGAATCCTATTTATAAGATTTCTCTTCTATATATCAAATGGCGTATGTATAGGGTGGAAAACAGGCTGTGCCAATCCAACTTTTGCAAGTTCAAGCTCGAGCTAGACTTGATAAGAATTTTTTGGTATTTGAGTTTGGCTTAAAACTCAATAATGTAACCCATTCTTGAGCTCAAATTTGGACTTTCTATTGAGTCTAAATTATTATTATTTTTGTTAAATAATAAATTTAATTATTATTTTGTTTTATATAAACAATATAATTAAATGTATTATAATCAAGTTGGCTTGTGAGCTTTTGAGCCTAACCTCTTCTAGCTTGGGTTCAGCTTCAGCTTGAAAAGTTAATCAAAGTCAAGCTTGGTTAAGCTCAATTAAGTGAATTCAATGTAATTATTATTGTTGACTGCTTTTTACATTTTTGAACCTTAGAAATATTTTTGTAAAGGATGCATGATTTGACATCATCCTTCTTGAAGTACAAATAAGATTACATCCTCTTCAGATTTATTTGGATTGTTAACTTATTCAGCTATTAAAGTAACATGGCTCGAAATGTATTTCAGGATTCACCAATAACAATTGGGGATCGTCAAGCTTTTGTTGAAGAAAAGAGGACAAACACTCGAGGTAAGATGAGTAAAATGCCTTTTAGATCCTGAAATTTTATTGTAATTCTATTTTGTCGGGATTCCAATTGCTTGTGCAGATTGAATTTGAATTAGCCCCTCGCCTAAAAACTTAAGGGTATTAGCCCCTTAACAATATAATTTGGGGGAATTCACCATTATTTAACGGATTTCAATGTCATATTTTTAGTCAAACATTATTTCCATCCTAATCAGTGACACATTCTGCATTTCTATCCTGTGTCATTCCACCATGGCAATGCCATACTCTGTCTTAATATTTTTTCTAAAAAAAAAAAGTCCTTGTTTAGAATCTCGACAAAAATAGATAGTTTAATTTTACCAAAGTAGGGCCCATATTATATTAAAGGAGAAATTTTTGTTGATTGCCACGGTGCCATGCCACGTAGGATAGAAAATGCTGATTGTGTTGTTGACTAAGATGGAAATAACATTTGACTAACGATGTGAAATTAAAATCCATTAAATAAGGGTGAATTCCTCCAAATTATATTGTTGATGGGCTAATGCCCTTAAATTTTTAGGTGGGGGTCAATAACCTTAAAATTTGTAAGTTAAGGGGCTAATTAGGGGGTTTGGCCTATAATATTTTTCAGGTCCTTATATTGTCATATGATTAAGGTTAAAATGTCATTGGTCAAATATGAGAAACCTATGCTTCCTAAGGAATTTGACTGATTTTGAATAAATGTTTAAATTGCTACTCCTTAGAAAATTCTTAAGGACAAAAAAGTTTGTTATGCGTTGACCTTTACAATAACTAAAATGACACTGGATATGTGATTAACATGAATGCTTGTTTCTGCAGTTGGCACCAGCGGTGGTGGCAGTGGCAGTGGCAGAGGGGGAAGGTATTCTTCTGGAAAAGGTGGATTCCGTAGTGACAGTTTCAGGGGTCGTAGTGGGAACTACGGAGGTGGCCGAGGTTATGGCAGGAGTAATGAATTCAGAAACCAGGGAGAGTTTTCTGGTCGACCAAAGGGTGGACGCAACGCTGGCAACTATCAGCGGGCTAATCAGGACGAAAGTGGAAGGAGTGGTGGGCGCCAAGGTGGTGCCAGAGTTTAAGTTTAGTTAGTTTAGTTAGTTTTTGTCTGAACAACAGCTAATCAAATGATTTTTTTTCCTAAACGGTATAAATGAGGGGTATCAGAGAAGTTAGAAATTCAAGTTTTTGATTTTTATTATAATTCCAACTATGTATAAGGAGTTTGATGCAAGTATGTGTTTTTTAATAAAAAATTTTAATTAACTCCAGAGCTTGGCTTGTTTATGTAGCTTAATTTCGAGTTCCAGCTTGAGCCAAAATCACACTTGCAATAGATCAAAGATGAAAATTACAACAGGTTATATGAACAAATTAATTTGATTTCTGCAAGTTGGATACAAAGCTCGATGCAGCAAACGCTGCAGAACCACCAGCTACACAAACCAAAGCCACCACCACCTGCAGGACAATCTCCCAAGCATTGTCCTCAGGCACAAGATACACACACGAAGGACCCAGAAGCAGTAACCCCAAGCTCAGACTCTGTAGTGCTGCTGGAGTTCCAGGGTCTGTTGCTGCAGATAATACTCCCAGTTCTTCTGCCTTGGAGAGGAGACCAAGTTTCTCTATTGTTGACAGAGACAGCCCAAATTTCTCAGCAGCTGATAGCAATCCAGCCTTCTCTGCTTTGGTTAGTAGTTTCAGTTGCTCTACTCTTGTCAGCAGCTTCACTGGCGGACCACCAGCCAATTGGCTGCTCCGAGGTCCTGGTTCTCCTAGGGGAAACACAGTTGAGCCCTGCATCATTTTGATGACATAAAATTAGAGAGATCAAAATTAGTAAAAACTGCAAAAGTTTACGAGAAGGGAATGAATGAGAAGCTTTGCCAGTTGGCTCAAGGCAATTTGCAGATACTCGTAAAATTAATAGGGTACCCATCTTATCAAAAACAGGGATGGATGTGTTGGGGCAGAAGAGTGTGGTGTAGATGGGTTGTAGTGACTGACCTTTTTGGAGCCGATTGTTTTGGCAGAAGATGGTAAGGGTTTCTGGGTAGCCATGGATTGAATTACAAGGGCTGAGGAAGAAGATGGATACAGTGTTTTCGCATTGGTTCTTGCAGGCGAAGAATACAAGCATGAGAAACCTTTGCTGCCGTGGACTGCTGCGGTAGCCGGCGACGCCATCAACTCCTTTTGAACTAGGGTCTGCAGAGAAACAAGCTGAAATGAATGGACGCGGAGGAATGATGGGGGGTGGATGGTGGATTGATTTTCAGGGGTTCGTGTGTCCACGTGTTACTCAGGGATTGGCTGTTGTGTTTAACGTCTGTGACACGTCATATTTTCGGAATTTAGATCAATCTAAAAAGTCACTATTTTTTTGAGTAAAATTTGCCTTAATTTTTCACTTAAAATTAATAATTATAAAAAAAGATAATTTAATATATTTTTAATTATTTATTTATATAAAATTTGTAATTAGATCCAATACAAAGATCTAGTAATTCTGCTAAACTTAACTAAATAAGAAAAATAATTAAATAAGATTAAATCATAAGTTATTTTGTAATTCAAATACTGAATTATAAAATATAAATTTTTAAATGAAAGATGAGTTCTTGACATTAAAAGTTATTCTACCAAAAAAATTTTATTTTATACTTTGATATAATTTTAGACAATAAAATAAATAAATTCAAATCAATATATAAAGTACTAAAACATTTAAATTTATCATAATTAAAATTAACAAATATATACTTCAAACTAATATATTTTTAAAAAAAATATTATTCATTTGAAAACAAGGTTTTTTTTATTAATTAAACCTCTTTTTGGTTCCTTGACTTGTCTGCAAGCCCTTAATTTTGTCCTGAAAGTGAAAGATCCCCTTTTTTCGTTCATAAAATTTGCTCTTGGGGCTCTATTTTTTGGCCTAATTTAACAAACAATTTAGTAATGTTTATATTTCTTTTATTTAGTCTATTATTTTTAAATACTTTTAGATTTATTTATTATTTATTATTTTTATTTTTATTTAGTCTAACTTATTAACTTTTTAACAGTCATTTCACTCTATTTAATCAAATTGATTTTCAACTATGTCTTTTATAAATTTTTACTTATTATAATTAATTTTGAATAAAACTAATCTTATGAGAATAATAAGTTTATTTTTATTATTTGAGAAATTGTAATTTTTATTACATATTATTTCTGTTTTTCTTTTTAACATTTCTTTTTTGTAACATAATACACAATTATTGATATACTTTAATAGCTTACATAATCTATTATAAATTGGTTTATTGGTTGAGATTACTTTATTTTAATTTTGATTTAACTTTTCTATCATTTTTCTGTTAAAACTAATGAAAATTTTGTACAGTAAAATAATATTTGATAAAATTTTTAGACTATTTTAAAAAAATTAACTCCCTAAGCTAAAATGAAATTAAGTTAAAAGTGAATAAACTAATCACTAAACTAAACCCTCTCTTTTCTTTCTTCTGTTAAAATTGGTACTATTTTCATTTAAGTATGGGCAGTGTTATATGAATAAATTTTTTGTATAATTTGTTCGGATAAATTTTATATATCATTAAATAAACAAATATATTATAAATTATAAATTATAAATTATAAATTAATGAATTAATTATATAAATAATACATAAAAATATATTTAAAAATAATATAAAAAATTATTCTTAAGTATTTCACTCACTTAATCGTTTTAGATGATTTGGAAATTAGAACGGCATGCGTGGCAAAATGCTATCATTTTTAGATTAATTAACATCATACGTACTAATTAACAAAAAAAATTAAAAAGAAAATTGAATCCCTTCATCTTCAACCTCTAAGGTTGTTAGATTTCAGATTTCATGCAAATAGAATTATTGATTAGTTGTCCAGTGATCAAGACTAATCCCTTGAATCACGTCTGTAGCATTTTTCTTTCCTTTATTTCTTTTACCATTGCCAACGGTCATCTTCTCCCTTTCCTTTTATGTTTTTCTTGCCGTTAACATACTCTTGTATATAAACTTATATTCCATTCATTGAATAAATTGAGGGAAATGTCATCTTTTCACAAAGGCTGTAACACATCCTTGTCTCTCGCTTCCTTCATCCAAATCACTTATCCTCATTCTTCTTCTTCTTCTTCTTCTTCATCCTCACTCTCCCTCCTCCACGTTCCACTCTGGAAGAATGGTTTAGATTATCTGCCCCCTTCTCTCTGCTTTAGACATCGCAAGTTCGCCGCCACCACGACACGAGCTTGTAACAAGCTGGATTTGAGGCTCACGATTTTCAAGATCTGCTGATCTGGCTGTCCTCTTTCCGTTCTTTCTCCCTTCTTCCTCCATTTCCATCTGGAGAACACGAAGAACTGATCTTGTAATATAATTAAAACCCATCACAAGATTCCCCCTTAGCATTCCGTATCCTTTGTAGGTGGTTGAAGTTCGTGAGACTGTCGAATTAGGCACCACCGACAATTGATGGTGCGGATTTCTCATTTGAGCATTCGTGCGGGTCTCTTCTTGATCTGATCTAAATCTGATTGTTTTCTCCTCTTGATTTGCCTCATCTTGTGCTTTGGTGTTGATCTAAGATCAAGTCATACAACCAAACGACCTGTTGTTCGAGAGAAATGTAACTCGGTTCTTGTTACTTAAGTTCTCGAGTTCGAGCTTTTGTAAATGTTTGAGTTTAAGGCCTGGTTTAGTTTAGGCAAAACCATAAGTTAAGCCCCTGAACTAATCCCAGAATCGCAATTAAGCCCCTATACTTTAATTGATGCAGCTAAGCCCTTGAACTCTGGGATCAAAGCAATTAAGCCCTTCTTCTTAAGCCAACTTAACTGCCGTTTGTGATTGCTAGCCTGACTTAACTGCCGTTGAGCACACACCCGCTTGGCTGCTTGGATGGCAAAATATTGCCAGCATG